GCGTCATCGTGGCCCGGCCTCGGTCATGGCGGACTTCGATGAGATTTACGAGGAAGAGGAAGACGAGGAACGGGCCTTGGAGGAGCAGCTGCTGAAGCACTCGCCGGACCCGGTGGTGGTGCGCGGCTCCGGCCATGTCACTGTGTAAGCAGGGCCGGGGGCGGGCAAGGGCAGGGAGCCTCTCCGGGGCTCGTCTCCCTCATCCCTTTCCCTGGATGGCGTCCCCTCCCGACCTTTAATGCGGCTTCCTTTAATCCGGTTTGGGGAACCCTCCTCTCACTTCCGAACAAGACGGTTCACAGTGGAGAACCACCGTCCCACAGTATGCGTGGTCTCCTTCCGTTGCAGGGACTCGTAGGCTGCATTTAGGATTTCCCCGAGTTTGCCAAGCATTTCCCTTTTGCTTCAGCCTGTTTACAACCCCTCCATTAAGCGAGTCCGGTGCCATTATTCCGGCATGATATACGTGGGAGAGGCTTAAAGTGGTGACCTGACTAGTGGTTTGGTCTTAAGGCACAGAATAAAACCTACCTGAAGCAACGTTTGAATGAGAGGCGTCTTCATCTTCTTCTCCCTAGTTGTTACACTATGTCAGTGTCTGTGGTGTTTTGTAAGATCTAGTAAGACGTGTCAGAGGATGTCATAGTGGGTGTGTGTGTGGAGTTGCTTTTGAAAAATAGATATTTATCTCATGAGGGCAGGGAAAATAAATTTAAATAGTAGTTGTATACTATACTTTCCTCTGGTATTGATGGGAAGTAAGGCATATTTGATTCCTTTTTTACAGTAGAAGATGAGAAACTGAGATGAAGAAATTGTGTTGCAAGATTGCGTTGTAGATCCAGGTTTGAAAGAAGGCAGGTCTTGAAAGAATAGCTTTAAACTCTTGTCTTACCCATGCTTGTAACAGGTTAATCAAAGGATAGCTCTGAAGAGTATCCTTGGGAATAAAGAACTTTAACTTCTTATATTAAGTTCCAGTTTTTTTCTTAAGAACTTCATGTTTGCTTCTTTTCTTCTCCATCTCTTCTTTTGAATTGTTGAAATCAAATGTAAGATACTCTAATTAGGATTTACTGAATCTCTATCTGTTCCACTCCCCCTCCCGCCCCCTCTTGCTGTTTTAGAGCAGGTAAATCAGATTAGATCAAAATATTGAATATTGTATTTACTCCATATTCAACATTAATTTGCATTTTATATAACTTCAAGTGCATTATGATGCACAAATACTAGATAGTTGTTAGTTTGTCCCTTATGCATAGGACTTACATATTTTTCCAACTGGTCAGGTAGGATACTCTGTTTTGGATCAATAATGTTAAATATTGGGTCTGCGGTCCTTGGACCTGAAGGCAAAAAGTGCTTTGCTATGAACAGCTATCTTGCAGTCCTGGGAAAAGGTGTTTGATTTAAGGAATTGCAGACAGGTGCTATGTTTGTATAGACTACCTTTTTGTTATTGAATCCAAAGTATTATTTCATATAGCTAGTGAAGACTTTATA